ATATCCTTGTTATGGAAACAAAAACTTTTTAAATTATTTCATTTAAATTGTTACTCTTAGCAATATTTCACTTTGGCTAGTGTCCTTAAAACGTACAATAATACTTCCTCTCACTCCGCCACATGCTAATAGATCTTCATTGCTTCCTTGATACTTCATTCACTCTAATAGTGAGAAATTAACTCATACTTTAATTCTACTATCTACTTGTGGAAGTAATCGAAAAGGTGGCTAGTCAGAGAGGTTTTGTTTACCTAGATAGGTGATAAGGTAAAAACAACTATGAGTTTACTGTCCTGATACAAAACTTGCTCCTAATTTTCCGAGATTTAGTTTCTTTAGCTCCAGCAGTCACTGTTAATCACTTTATTAGTCGCGCGCTAATTAACAGATTTATGATATTTTGATATTGTTCGTTACCCTGAACCTGTGAACTGACATTCTGGTGTAAATGTATCACTCCCATATACTAGCACCTGTGTTCGATATCAGAAATCTTACCGCTTGAATACTGGTTGACAGGTCCTGAATATCGGACAATATCGTTAATTAGTAGCACTACCATATGTTGATTACAGACTAGAGCCCGCTTGGGTGGTGGTTTTGGACGACTGATAAGGAACTGGTCCTGTGAGGTGGTTCCATAATTCTAGGATAAATGCTCACTACCTAGGAGATTTTATACTAATCATAGGTATAATAACTCGTATTTCGGTGCCTATACTCATCGAAATGACAAGTACATCACCAAAAGAAATTCGGAAACTAGTATTGGTTAGAATGTCCCAAAGCTGGAAAGAGGAATTTGCTAATAATTTACTTTAGAACGGGCTTAAACTAAAGTCAATCTTTATCCTGAAGATCCAAAATGGTAACTAGTGCATTTAAGAAGATTAGTGCTATCGGGAACCAAACGTGAATGTCCCCCAAATGTTTCTTTTGTCAAGCGCTACCTCTTTAGCACCATGTTGTCGCTTAAGACAATTTTGGAATCTTGACGAAGTAACTTCATAGGTATTCTAATAGATGATATGATAATGGGTACTGGCAAGGAATCAAAATCATTTCTGGTTTCCTATCTCGAAAAGGTTGGTTATGATGGCGTGAAAATAATGATGGGATTGATTTATAGATCCCTGCTAATACACCATTCGATAAATTAGCCTTGCTTTAAGGCCATCAGCTTGTTTCAAATTTACATTTTTCCTTGGTAAGGAAGTTCTTTGCTTTAAGTCTAAAAGCATTCGCCAAAGTGACCTTTTAAAATGTTGACAAGTTGACAAAACTGCCCAAAACTTAGGAAAAGTTAACATATTTTTCGTATTTGACGAGGTGGCAAGATTCGAACATTAGGCTCAAGAACCAAGAATGCTTACATCACGCGTGTGATGAACGTAATACTGCCTAACTTATACTCTGATACCAAATTGACACGCCCTGACCCGGGATGTCCAATAGGACTCCGAATCAAGCTGTGTTGGCTGACGGTATGGATGTCGAAGATGTGAAATTTAAACCTAAAAGTGCTTAAATACAAGAGTGCGCAGTGAGCGGGTATGAACTCATTTCACACGTGATGACAGAGCATAAGTACAGTACAATAAAATAGGGTGAGAATTATACCATTAATGATAATCGCCTACACCAAGATTTGCCAATAATCTTCGTCGGTATGAAAACTCTGCTACTAACACCTGGAGGGGCAAAAAACAAGGGTGACTGGGCCTAAAAATAAAGTTTTGATAAAAACCTTTTGAAAGCGTTATAACCCTTCGCCGTAAAACCCGTATAGTTTCTAGAAAATAGTACTACTACGTAGGTATAAAAACCAATGCACAAGAGCAGCGAAAACTAAAGTATGCCATGTCATAATATCTCATCAATAATAAATGTAAGCTAGGTGTGAAACCAATATAAAATAGTACGCCAATCGGAGTCACCTAACGTGACCTGTACGACTGGACCTATGGCTCATCAATCTAGGCTAGCACATGAGTCGGAGTCACCTAGTGTGACTTGTACGACAGGTTGGGTATACGCTCAAGTGCTACGATCACATGAAATTTGTGCGATAAATCGCGAATCACCTACGAGTCGGAACCACCTATTGTGGTTTGTACGACAGGCTGACACTAGACTTGGATCTAAGGTGAGCGTGCGGTGCGGGAAGTGAACAATCATGTGAAGGATGGCCCTAGCCCCGGGCGAGAGCACTAATACCGGGGTGCAGCCATGATGGGCTCTAAATAAATGTGCGTATACCAATGCAATACAACCCATTCAATCACATAATACTCACTTGAAGCTTTACCTGAGTCTCCGTAACATCACACAATACAATTCACAAGTGTAATAATGCAATATTTAAAATGTAACTTATTTACGACATGGCAAGCAAAACATAGTTCCATATATAAAACGTTTCTGGAAACCTTAAAGTTTATATATATATATAGACATACACTATAGAAAGGAAAAAAACCCATTCACCTGAGGTCCGCGCTACAACTCCCTGGCAAGAATATCAAGACGTCATGAACGATCGTCGCCTAGAACAAATATCAATTCACAACTCAGAATTCTTATTGATAGAACATGTAACTTACATAAAACACATCCTCAAGGATGTTCTAGAATGATTTGAAACCCTTGACCAAAAGTCAACCGTCAATCAAAGATCTACGGTAGGGTCCACAAACCTACGTAACTCGATCCAGAAGATCCGCAACTCAAATTTCTGATCCGTAACATCCAAAGATCCACCTTATGCTTGAAAACATCATACTAAAGTTTCATTACGACCCAACGGTTGGATCTTCGCCAATTGCAAATTCAAGTGGCGGTCAACGTTTTATTTTATGAACTAACAAATCCAATTCGGGAAGATCCTTACATCGGATTCCCGATCCGTAAGTTCCTATGATCCTCATAAATTATGTACTATGATGTATTAAAGTTTGGTGACTATCTAACAGTCGAATCGTTGATTACTATAATAATCAAGTGGCGGACCTTAATGGAACTAGGTTCAAACGACGGAAATTCGTCAATAGGACTTCACATACAGAATTAGAGAATCAAATTTAGCCTAGGAAAGTCAATGGATGCCTCGACCCACGTGCCGCCATACACGGCGGTCGGCTGCCCCGACTCATCGAAAAAATCAACTATTTTTAAAAATTCTCAAATTTCACAGAAATGAAGATCTCAATAAGTAGAGCAAGTTTCATACATGCAACCAAGTCCAATTTGACCGGAAAAAAGCCTCAAATTACCACGAACCTATCGGAAACCCTAGAAATAAGTGGTTTTCATTCGACTCCAAACAAGCTCCAACACCCCAACCAATGCATGGACTTTGTTTCTGAGGTTAAGGAGAGTCTATTAGTGGTGGTGGTTGACGGAGTCATCTTCATGATTGTTGAATTTCCGCCGTGGCACCCCGGAACCCACATGTTCCATTCATCACGGAATCAAGGCTAAATTTAATGAAATTTGATTGGAAATGGAAGATGGGAGATCATGGAATGTTTTCCAGGTGGTGGATGGCGGCAATTTGACGGAAAAACCAATGAAAATCACGTCGGAATAACGTGGAACGGGTCGGGTCAACGAGGAGGAACTAGGTCAAGGGTGATCCGGTGCTCCTCCACTATCTCATTTCCCTTCCTTTATTCTCTCCCCCATTGGTCACTCTTTTCTCTCCCTTCTTTCTGATTGGGCGTCCTGCCCTTCCTTTCTTCCATTTAATCTAGGCCACACACGTGGCTTTCCAGATTTTGCTCCAAAAATCTGGAGCATTCCAGAAAATAATAAATTTACAATTTTGCCCTCCACTTCATTCGTTAATAACTTCTTCATTATAACTCCAAATTACGTTCCGTTTGCGCTCACGCATTCGTAGCGATGAGTAGTACGAGGATAAGCCAAGAAAATGAATCTTACATGACTCGACAAGGCAATCAACAAAAGTCAATGCATTTGCCTTGAAGGGCATTTTCGAAATTTCACATTTTAAAATTATAAAAACCGTAGGTTTTTAGGACAGGTCGTTAAAGTTAGGACGAAAAAAAAAATAAAAAAACAAAGAAATTGTAACAACACAATATGGCAAAAAAAGAAAGAAGCAAACTGATGTAACTATAAAAAACCCTTTGGGGCCAATGTGTCCAATGCCATAACATCGTCTACCACATTTGCCACATTTTCCTTTATCTTGTTTCGACACATACGTCGATAGTTATGAAACTCATAACGTATCTTGCCACTTAATACTATAATCTAATAGTATTCTTTTTTACTTACTCAGATCTCGAAACAACAAATGATAAATAACAAGTTCGTAGGCTTCAAATCTCGTAATATACTTTTTCACTTCACTCGATCTCGAAATTAACAAATGACAATTCACTCGATCCCGAAATTAACAAATGACTTTTCTCTTAAATCTCGTAATATTCTTTTTCACTTAAATTATCTTATAAATGAGAAATGACAAGTTCGTAAGCTTTCAAGTCTCAAATCTCGAAAATGACATTTTCATAACTATTTTTGAGTCTGACCCTAATATCCTACCAAAAACCCCAACATGATCCTCTCCGGATCCTTTTGGTGAAGATCATGAGGATTTATGAATCGTGTTCGTTCATCGTACATCGTGCGATCAATTTTTATCAAGTATTGCTTGTGTTTAATTTTAAATAAAAATATTTAAAATAATTTATGACCGCATAATGCACGATGAACTGACCGAACTGACGAATCTTTGGGATCCTCATAAAAAGAATCTGGCGAAGATCCGGAGTCCAAAAAACCCTTTGTATCACAAGGATATCATTGGAAAAATACGGAACACATAATGTTAAATTAAAGGTTTAGATAAGTTAAACAACCATCTATGATCTATCACCTCTCAATTACAAAATTAAGCTAATGAAAGAATAGTTTTTTTTTTTAGTACAATGATATATTTTACACTAAGAAAAAGAGGAGAATTCGACTAAACCATACAATAAGTAACTCTATTTGGTATCAAATTAACTATTCACGAGATTCAAAACTAAAACCTCTCAAAAAATATTTTACACTAAGAAAAATAAGAAAATTCGACTAAACCATACAATAAGTAACCTTATTTGGTATCAAATTAACTATTCACGAGATTTGAAACTAAAACCTCTCAAAGAATAGTTAGAAAACTAAAAATGCTTTACAACCTTCCACGCAAACCCCTTTATTTACATCCTCCTGATTTCCTTCCTTCCCATTATTATTCCATTTTCTATTATTCTCCTCACTTTCCTTGCCTTTATTCTCCTCCTCCTCCCCACCACCATCTTCAGCACCGAATATTCCCTTCACCACCGTCTCCACATCAATTTTATTTTCAATTCCGTCCGTACCCACCGCCGGCGCAATTTCGGGGATGTACGGCGGCCTCGAGATTCGCAAAACCGAGTCCCACTCAACCCATTTAAAGAAATCGTGGCCCTTGATCTCCACCGATCCGATTCTCTGCTTCGGGTCCTTCTCAAGCAAATTTTTTATCAGATCCCTCAAAGCCGTCGTTTGGCCTGTTAGTTCAGGAGTTTTTGTCAGTATCCGATAAAACGTCTCTTTTCTGTTAGATCCCCGGAACGGCGTCGTACCGTACAGCATTTCGTAAAGAAGCACCCCGAGGGACCACCAATCGACGCCGAAGTCATGGCCATGTCCCGATACAATTTCGGGCGCCACGTACTCCTCCGTCCCAACAAACGAGTTCGACTTCTCGGCCAAATCCGACCCGGAGAGGCTTTCCAAGTTGACGCGCAGTTCGGGCGGCGCCACCGTTTCGTCCGGCGAAATCCCCGAGTTGCAGAAGCGGTGGAACGGCGAGCGCCGCTTCTTTTGCACTGTGATTGATTTTGCTATGGAATTTGATCTGACACGATCCGATTGAGCTGATCGAGGAGGAGTCCTTATCGGAGAGAGCTCGGTGGAGAGATCGAAATCGACGAGCATAATGTGACCGTTCTCTTGGATCATGATGTTCTCCGGTTTCAAATCTCTGTAAACCACTCCTAATCCGTGCAGATAATCCAATACTAGAACCAATTCCGCCGCGTAAAATCTAATAAAAAAAGGAAACGAAAATCCGAATTTAATTTTCTCGGCAGCCAAATAGAATTGAATACATTAATTCGAGAGATCTTTGAGATTGAATTACCTGATGACCTCATCAGAGAACATCCTCTCCGTCTGTCGTTTTCTGAGGCAATTGAGATCGCGGCCGGGGCAGTAATCAATGGCGTAGCCGGCGAGCTTCTCAGTGTCGAGAACGCCATGCAGCTTCGGCAAGAGTGGGTGGTCAAAACGACGAAGTACTTGCTGCTCGAAGCTGACTCTCCGGTACTCGCTGCCGTCACTCTTCGTGTCTTTACTCCTCCGCTCGATCAAGTCCTTGGAAATTACCTTTAAGGCCATGAGCTCCTCCGCCGGCTCTTCGCCCTTCACCAGAAACACCACGCCCTTGGCTCCGTGGCCCAGCACCGAGATCACTCTCAGGCGCTGGAAATCCAAGCTGGGAACCGTGACGCCGTCGTCTTGGTTGGCCATGGTTGAAAGCTCTGTTTTGGGTGGCAGCTGTGCAGGGAGCCAGAGACCGAAATTTATAGTAGTCTTAGCGAGGAAGGGTTCAATTCAAGGGGCGGGGCCCATACATTGGCTTTTACTTTCTTTTTTTACTCTTCTTTGCATGCTGCTGTTGGTGTGTGTGGTGCGCTGTGATGCGGACACGTATGGATATTTCCTGGGTGTGTGGTGGCGTGGCGGGATCGTGCGGTGGTTTACTGTTTTGAAGCGCGGGCAAATTTCCTGCGCGTTGTTGAGGATGACGTCGTCACTGAAATATTATTGTTTGGGAGATTTTTCTCTTTTATTTTGTTGATGTCTTGGAGAGGAAGAAACCGGGGGCGGTGAATGTGAGTCCGTGAGGCGGTCTTTATTCCAGAAGACGTGCGGTGCAGGGAATGTTTTGGTTCAAACTGGTGGAAACTTGCAATATGTTTGGATGAAGAAATTTAAGATTATTAAGGAATTTAAAAATGACGGAAATTGAAATAATGAGATTTTATTTTCTAGAATTTGTAAATTTCTTGTTTGGTTAACCTAAAAGAACAATGGAATTGAATATGAAATTTGTTATTTTTAAACTCTCAATCATAGAAATTGGGAAATGACACCTATTTACATGGAATTTGAACTTGAGAATTGGAGGTCCCAAATTCCAAGTTTGTTTTCCACGCAGAAATTCTAAATTTCTATGTTTATGAATCCAAACAAGAAAATTGGTGCATGTCAATTTATAAATTCTGACTTTTATCAAAATTCCAAGTTTATTTCCCTTATCCAAACATAGTGTTATGGTGCTTACGCGACTCTCGTTATTGAAAATATTGAAATAAGAGAAACAAAATTTTAAGGGTTTTTTTTTGGGTTTGGGATCCGAAAACCCTTAGGACAATTCGAAAATCAATCCCCAATTCTAAATTCATCCTCCAATTTGAAAATGAAAAACCCTAACCCAATCCGAAATTTAAAAACCCTAAATCTTGAAAGAGAGGAGTGGCAGACACAGCGGTTGAATCGAGATATTGGTTGAGAAATGATGGAGCTTTACGTTGTAGACTGAAATGAAAGGGATTTTCATCGAGCTTTACGGTGGTCGACTACTAGCTAATAGAGGAATGAGTGGCGGAAGGTCGAGAGGGAAAGAGAGTCTGTACAAGCCGGAGGTGGAAGATAAATTTGGTGGGACTGGACGATGAATTAGGTGGGAATGGGCGATGAATTTGACGGTGCGGTGTCGTGGAAGAATATGAATTTGGAGGTATGCTACGATCTGGTGGTGCGGTGTGTGGAGTTGACGGAGAAGAAACAGAGCGAAAGAGAATCGGAGTCACGAGAAAGTGTCAGAGTCGTTGACTAGAGGGCTTGGTTTTAAGTGAGAAATATTTATATTTTTATGAGCGATTGAGATCTAATCTCAATCAAATCAAACGCCCACATATATTTCAATTGAAAAATATAAAACTATCTCTCTGAGAACCTTCCCAGACGTTCGTAAAATCAAACGGCCAATCAAATCAACCATTTGGTATTACCGAAGAAATGGCGTCGTGGTCCCGATCCTCTTACCGAGTTCGGGTAGTTGTTTGATTCTGGGTACCCAATGGTTCAGTACTACCCGGTTCGATTTTTTTAAGGTCGGGTTCGACATTAAAGGAGTGTGGTGGGAAATTGAAGGTGTGCTGAGTCAAACACACTACACATAAAAATGGGTGAAGTGGATTTCGTTGGTGATGGGTTTTTTTTATTCTCTTTCGCTCTTAGGTTTGGTTTGACCTGCAAGATTTTGGGTAATTTCTTATGGGTCTTTTGGTTCAAAAAAAGTTTTATGGATAACCATGTTCTATTACGGTGCTTTATCTAGGGTTTATTTATTAGGTCGTGATAGTTTATTAAAAGTTATTTTTTTAATATAAATTTTAAATAAATTTCTTTATATTGGTGCTCTAGAAATTTAGTTGTTAACTCCAAATTTTTATATTTTAAAAAGAAAAATACTCTTATCAGGAATCGGTAAAAGATTTGGTATAAGAGTATATAAGATATAGTCATCATTCCATTTCCATTTAATCTTTTTTTATTATTTTATGAAATACGATATTTATTATATGACAAAGAAAACGTACAAGCAAAGAGGATAGGATGCTAATAATAGATCTGGATAAAAATCTTGCCAGGAATTTCAATAGAAACCAAGAAAAAAAGAGTGTCTCGCACCTCTAAGTTAAATAGTAACACTATCCTAGAAAAGAAAATCAGATATTACAGCATAAGGTTATTCAAACCAAGAAACCTGAGCATCCAACGTTAAGCCCAATCTCGCAAGCCGATGTGCAATCTTGTTTGTCTCACATCAACCAAACGTGACCTTCCAATTCAGAATAGACTTCAACAATTGACTAGCATCATTCAAAATATTCCCAAAGGTACCATTGCATGGAGTTGCCGCATCATTTTGAAGAGCATTGATAACCATCATTGCATCCCCTTGCACTTCCAAATGAGTTACTCCCAGGTCGTGAGCAAAAAGTACTGCTGCCCGAGCAGCCATGATTTCTGCCAGTACTGCCGAGCAGACCCCTCGAATTTTCATTGCTGTAGGTGCCACAAAGCACCATTATCATCTCGAATCACCACACCAATACCCCCTAGCTCACCTAACTCATCCCACGTGCCATCGAACTTGCATTTAAGCCAGCCCACATCAGGTTTCTCCCATTTTTGAGGGATTGACGGTCTGCTGCATTTCTTGGAACCGTGCAACTTCCTATATTCCTGCAGCGAAGCTTGGGATTTGCAATTGATATCCACCTGATTCAAAGCCGTACCATTCCATATCAAGATCAAAGCTAAGTCAAAGCTTTGATGGGCAAGTAATCTCGCCACCTTTACCAGCCACATACGAAAAGCACCATAGATATGCCTTTCCGTCCTCAAACATAATGGGCTGGAGAACCAGATAGACGCTGATCTTGAGCATTCCAACAACGCATGTTCAACACTTTCCGTGTCTCCATCACAGAAAAGACAAGTGTCAGTCGTGATCACCTTCCTGCTCTTCAAATTGGCTCTAGTTGGTAGGGCATTTAGACAGTACCGTCATACGCATATTTTAACCTTCCTTGGTACACAACCTCTCCACAAAGCCTTCCACATATATTTTGACTCCCCATTCATTACAGAGCCAGTTGATCCATCCCCACCTATATTTCCACAAGACCGAGCTACAAAGTAAGAAAGCACTTTTTGTCGAAAACACTCCGTTCTTCTCCACAACCCAAATTAAATTATACGGTGGCTTGAAAAAACTCAAGGGGATACTCAAAATCAACTTTGCCTCTTCCTCAAAGAATATGCACTTAATTAATCCACATTTCATATCGGACACATTCCCCATCCACCATCAGACTATTCACTGTAGTATCATGCTCCACGCCGGCAGGAATAGGACTTAAAACCTTAAAGAAACTCTCTGGGCAGCCAACTATCCCCCCAGATTTTAATCTTTGTACCGTCCCTTACTCGCCACCTATAACTAGAGGCGGCATTTTGGACCCGACCCGTTAATCCGATCTGACCCGATCCATTAAAATCAATATTTGAGTGAAAGCTTAATGGGTCGGGTTGTTAACGGATTAACCTGTTAACCACCTGTTATTTTACGGTGGTTCACCCGCAAACCTGTTAAGACCCGTTAACGAGGATGCTTATGTAATTTCGTTGAAATAAAAACTAATCCTTATTTCCTTCTTAAAGCCATGCTCCTCCCACCGTCACTCCTCCCTCCTCCTCTGGGCAAACTGCTACCTCCCTGCGGTTTTGCAGAAACGTAGCTTAGGACCCAAACCACCATTCTTATCCTTCGCGGCTCTGTACCACACAGTTTCACCGTTGAGTTCTCCCAGTAGCTGAAGTGTCGCTGCAGTAAACGTTTGATCTGATCATTGTAATTCATCATGATGTGCACCTCCTTGGTCCCAGGGATATGATCAAATGAGCTTGATGGTTCAGCAAGTGTGAGCCCAAGGATTGGAAGAGAAGCATCATTGAACCCTCCTCCAAAATAATTTCTACATGATGTGATTGATTCATATGCGAAATATTCTCAAACTAGTGTTACGTTCTAATTTCCAACTTCTACCCGTTAATCTGTACTTGGAAAAAATATGCAATTGTGTTTGAGTTACTTTTGCAAAATTAAAAATAAAATAAAATAAACTATTGTAAATGGATGTTAACGGGTTAAACATGTGATCCATTAGCTTAACATATTGGATTTGAATAACTCATTAATTTAACCGGTTGAATTTGAATGATCCGTTAACTTAACGAATTAGTTAAAATCAACCCAAATCCAATAAATTCAACCCGTTTACAAGTCTACCTATAACCCCTTCGAATAATCACTCGAGCCTCTGCCATACTTCTCCAGCAATACGAGGCATTTGTCTCTTCACGGAGGCTTGCAAAAAGTCTGACGTTGAAAAAAATCGGCTTTGAAAACGCGTGCAGCAAGAGAATCACGTTGTTGGATGAAACACCATCCTAGCTTACCAAATAATGCAAGGTTAAAAGCGAGAGGTCATTAAACCCTAAAACCCACACCACCCACCACACCCCCATAAAAACATCCTCTCTCGCTTTTTGCACATTTTACTCCACTTCATCCGATAAATTTGAGGTTTGCCCGATTCACGGCCCCACCAAAATTGAGCAACATTTGACTCATTCCATTTTATCTTTTATATCGCTGTAACTCTTTTATGATATTTAGTTGAATTCTCAAAAAGAATCTAAAAGAATCGTAAAAGGTAAGTTGTATATTGTTATGGTAACTCTTTTCTTATCTTAAAAAGAAAGACAACTGTTAGCAAGTAATTTCACAGTTGCCACATTCAAGTAGACTCACCAGTCCGAAGCATCGCAACCTCTTACTTTATTTTATTTTATTGAAAAGCTGTAATCCACGTTCTTACCACTAAATCACTTGCTGTAGTTAGATTGTTATGATAGTTGAGACCTTTCATTTTAACTCAATGCATTTAGCATTTAAAAATTATATTTCCGCCGACAGATTAATATTTAATATAAAAAAATTCGCTCCTATAATCTTTCTTAGAAGATGAGCAAGCGGTTTGTCATCCACTACAGTAATTATGAAAAATTCGTATTTCTTCCTCAAGTATTACTTCATATTATCTATAATTTAAATTGCGATTGGATCATTTGGGAGAAAAAAGTCCGACCAATAACTTAATACATGACACGTAATGTGTTTTATTATCTCATGCGGATAAGCCGTAAGCGGCACCCCGCCTTGACTCCATCAATTTATAAACAAAAAAAAATAAAATTAAAAAAAAAAAAAAAAACTCCGGTATTTTGGTTTCGTTGTCTTTCCCAGTTTCCGAAACGTTTTGGAAAACATGGCAAAAACAAGCTGCGCAATTAGCTCTGATTCTGCTTGAAAAATGGAGGCCCGAAGGCTCGCCATTATCTGCTCCCACATCCGACCCGGTTCGGTTCTCGCTCCGACCCAATTAGCTCCCGTTTCCAGGTCCAATTGCGATTCCGGTTTGAACAGTAAGCAGTGGCCCAGTGGTTCCGACGAGGGCAATAGCGAAAACGGCTGCGTTTTCTGTAAAATTATTCGCGGAGAGTCACCGGCTTTCAAGGTTTCTATGGTTCTAATTAAACTGCATTTTATTTAATTAATTATGGGGTTTTCATATTTTAATTATTTGTGAAATTTTATACTTTTGCAGCTCTACGAAGATGATGTTTGCTTGTGCATATTGGATACGAGTCCGCTGAGTCGTGGGTAAGGTATCATTTATCCAATATTTAATTTTTCAATCATTATTTTTTCTCAATTTTCTTGCTTTTCTTGTTTTCTTTGTGCTGGAATTTATGGTAAATTTGTCTTAATTCATTCAATTTTTTTTTTTTAGTAACACGATATTCTAAACTGCTCTAATTGACGGAGAGGTGAATTCGAACTTGAGTGTATGGTGGCGGGCTTATTGGCATTTAATGGATGCTTTTAATTTTTAACGGTAGAAATGCAAGTGTTTTGTGTCAATTTTGCCAACGTTTCTTTTGTATTGCAAGTAAACACTGCATAAAAGAAAGAAAGAAAGAAAGAATGCAATTGCATCGTCTTTTAACAATGTTTTCTTTTCCACTTGCTAAATTTCCGTACTTTTGCTCTCTCAGGCACTCTCTGATTATCCCCAAATCTCATTTTTCTTCGTTGAAAGCCACACCCCCGGATGTAAGTATGTCTTACAGATGCAGTTGGTTTGTGAATTGTTACTAGATATCAAGACAGAAGAGTATTGCTTACTTTCATATGTTATGCATTGGATGAAATGATGGGATGAATTTATCTGAACATTATTGATTGATTGGACTGTAATTTTCTCGACATATCTCCGATAAGTTGTTTGGATATTTGTACTTTTTTCTGCAAATCCTGTACATGCGTTTCTGTATTTGTTGTGTAGTGTTATAATGTTTCATGAGTCCGAATGAACTTGCTCTGCAGGTGGTAGCTGCAATGTGTTCAAAAGTGCCCTTTATCAGCAGCGCAATCATGAAAGCCACTGATTCTGGTATGTCTTCAAAGTCATTTTCTGGCATTGCCGTATTGTAATTTCTTTTGGTTCTCAGGTTAAGTACTCGATTAGCAATTAGGATGTGCTGAAGTGGCCCTTATACTTCAAAGATATTTTCTTTGACATCCTTGTTCACAATTGCATATTCGGTCATACCTACCTAACATTTGCTGTTATAAATACTTAACACAGTACGCTCTAATTATGCAGATTCGTTCAACTTGTTAGTTAACAACGGTAGAGCTGCAGGCCAAGTTATATTTCATGTGAGTCATTATAATTTCCGTTTTGAATTTCCTTCTGGCTAAAGCTTATAGCAGCATTTACATTCGAAATGATGCATCCTCTGCCAGCATTTACTTGTGGTTATTGTTAATGGATGATAGTATTGTACCTTTCTATCCAGTTATTTTGTTATTTAACACGAGCAATGTGCTAAGCTTTTGCTAATCTTGCTGTGTAACACGGTAATTTCAGACTCATATTCACATAATACCGCGCAAGGCCCTTGATTGCCTTTGGGCTTCTGAGGTATTTATCATTCACAATTTTGCCTCTTTATACGTGAAAACTGTACAGTCTTGAGGATATAAGCTTGATACTAATATATATGAACTCCACAGAGTTTGCGGAGGCGGCCCCTGAACTCAGACCAGGAAGCATCTCGACTTGCAGATTGTGTTCGAGAGCAATTGTCAATATCAGACAACTCCAAAATTAGCCAAGGGTGAAGGATCGAGTCTTACCGAAAACTAGGTGCACATTTCGTCCGATCAAAATGTAATTTTCAGTGTACAATTATGTGCAATATACATACTTTAATTCTTTGGAATGTTGTATGACTTGCAAATATTACTTGTTCCATGTCGTATAGAAGGCTGAGCTCACCAGTTTACATAGTGTTTCTTTTTTCCTTTCAAAATCTGGACATCAAAATAACAATGAATATGATATGGTTTCCTTTTTCTTTTTCCTCAAGTTCGAGAACAATGGTTTATTCAGAACGAAAGAAGCACGAAACCTAAAAACCAGGAAACAAAAGCGTAATCTCAATATCTGTCCCGCACCAACGCTGTTCTTGGTGCTCCAATCAAACTTCGAAAAGTTTCCGTTGATATGTTTTTTCCACCTAATTTTTTAGGTGAATCAGGCTTCTAGTATAACAGCACACCCTCGGACTTTGAAAAATTTCCATTGATATGTTTCTTCCACCTAATTTTTTAGGTGAATCAGGCTTCTAGTATAACAGCAAACCCTCGGACTCTAGAAGTCCGAGGGTGAATTTGTAGGACACAAGATTCAAGGAATCATTTCTTAGATCCTGGAAGTACCGAAATGCACTCCAAATATGCAGATAAGGGTTTCATCCAACCTCATCATCTTCATTTACAAGCCAATGCATGTTTCCGCATGCAGATGTTTTATTGACACTTTACTCGCAAGGAGGAACTAAGTCTATCTCTTGCCACATGCTAGTGCCCAATACATAAACTTGGGCAACCACATTCATACTCAGATCTCTGTGTCGTGGATGTAGGGACTGCGGTGCTTTTCAGAAAACACGAACAATCTTATAGGTGTTGGACATTATCAAATCACATACAGAACCTTCTGAGTTTGCGGTAGCACCTCCAGGGACCTCTGAAACTTCTCCACCAAGAGGATCGATGAGCCAGAAGCCTGGACCACCGGATACACTACTCTCGTTGACGAAAAACAAGTTGCAGAAAACAAAACGTACACCATAAAAGTTACTGTTACAAAAATTTGTGACACGAAGAGCATGCTTGGTTTCTCTCAAGTAGTTATGTTTGCGGGTGTTGTTCGATGACTGCAGCCGCAACGGCATGATTTGTAATCCATGCTATATGGGGATTTAGCAACAAGCATGATTTGATGTTCTTCAAGCTCAGCAGCATCACCGGAGTCGATCGGCAGCAGAATTGAGTAAACGCTTAATGTACTTCAAGCATAACAAATTGATGTGACAGGCAGTCTCGTAAGGATTTCGATCAAAACTATGACATTCATAAGACTCGAGCAATATGCTCTCCTTGCTTCTACACCTAACCTAAGTTCGAATCCCATATGTTCAACTTGAGATTTTCTTGAACTAAGTAGAGAGAAAATAAATTAGTTTCACGTTGACGAATAAAATGAATTTGACATCAATTTCTATTTTTTGAGAGAAAACTGCTAGGGAAATCAAATTTTTAGACCATGTTTTGTAGACTACATGATGTGCCCATTGATTATTCAGTTACTTTTTTTTTTTTTAATGATTTAAAGTAATAGTTCAACCATCGGTCATTGCATTATGTAGTCTACAAAAGATGATCTAAAATTGAAAAATGTTAGGAGACTCTCTTAAAGTGGGACTATCTGACACCTCACAATTTAAATATCAATTTTTGTGCTAATATATAAAACATTGTGCTAAAAATACGAGTATCAAAATATTTATAAAGAGTTCCACGTTTTAAAAGTCCTCGCATTTCTCTCTATAATTTGCATCACCCTGTTTGGGATCAATCCCATTGACCAACTTTTAATATCCAATGATACTGTCGTGAAAGAGTCAGGGCATTGGCCAGTCAAAACCAACGCTAATTTAGTTTTATTATGGCACTTTCAAAAATATAAAATTCAGCAATGAAAAATTAATAAATAAATAATCAAAATAAATAAAAAGGACAATCTTCCAATTAAATTTGAACTTCCAAGGGAAGGCAAGCAAAAATCCAATTTAAAAGAAGTCACAACAAGTCTTTGCCTTCTCAGACCCCCCCTATGCGAAACGTCTCCGACTCCCTCTGAGCCTTTGAGGGTTTGCCTTTGCCTCTCTTCGTCTTCGTCTCCCTCCATTTCGCGCTTTCGCCCAGAAACCTCTCGAACTCTCCTCCTTCCCCTCCATTTCCTCTCTCCGCTGCCAAAACGTCGATTCGCCGCGCCCGCATTCGCTGAAAACACCATAGGAAACAATCAATTTGGGAAGAGGAAGGGGAGGACTGATATGGCGCCGAGTCTCGCATTGTCGACGGCAGAGAAACTCAGGAAGGACGGCAACACTTACTTCAAGAAAGATCGATTCGCGGCCGCCATCGATGCCTATACTGAGGTATTATTTTGTTTCTGCGATTCGCTCCTCTCGTGTACTTTGCGTGTGTGGAAAATTGTAAAGGTTTGATCTTTGTGATTGATGATTTCGTGGTGGTATTTTTTGGCATTTGGGTTTTGAAGGCAATCACTCTGTGCCCTAATGTTCCTGTTTATTGGACGAATCGCGCTCTCTGCCATCGTAAGCGTAAGTACGTATGACCACCTTCTCTCTCTCTCTCTCTCTCTCTCTCTCTCTCTCTCTCTCTCCCCCCTCAGTTTTCGTTTTCCTTATTTGTTTCTTGGATTTCATTAATGGGTTTTGAGTAATGCAGTGATTGGACAAAAGTCGAAGAGGATTCTCGGAAAGCTATTCAGCTTGATCACAATTCAGTTAAGGTAAATTCTGGTGTTTTGATTTTGTTTTGCTCCTTTTTCTATAAATGTGTTTCTAGGATGTCATCTGTGACCTGAAAATAGAGATGTGAGATCTTCGGAGGAGTGAAATTTTGGTATATTGATATATTCTTTTGTGTATCGACTTGAGTACTTGTGGTGGTGCTGCAGAGAGTTGTATTCATTGTTAAATTCTGATAAATTGATTGTCTGCATTTTAACGCATGGAGGTCGGGTCATAAATCGTTGGCCTACATTACATGCACGGAGACTTTGTCTGTTTGTTTCCTCTTCTAGCAAACCATCATTTTATGAGTTAGATGCTCTTTATACAATTTGAGGGCATTCAAGTGGCGAAAGACGTTTAATAACAGTTTTGGATCCAGATGCATAATAGGAATTTTCACCAAGATGATAGCTTGAAGGCATGGGTTCCTTCCTTCTATATGCCTTGTGCTCCTGACTTTTCCGGTTGCGATTATGCTTTTAGAATCATTGCTTCCTTGTCGTCTTTTTAGTGCAGTACATATCTAATCAAGCTTTGGACACATGAAAATAATTTTGTTGCATATGTTGCGTGTATTCCTGTACAATATTCTCTGAGTCTTGCACATTAACCTATTATCTTCTGCTTTAATGTGCCATTTTCCTTTTTACTATTGAATCATCATCGTGCCGTTTAGTTCATTGAAAATTTCCTGTGTGACAGGGTAACTATATGCTGGGGCTTGCTTTACTGCAGAAGCAAGAGTATGCTGAGGGAGTTAAGGCACTCGAGAGGGTAACAAGTGCTTTTGGTCTAGCATACTCTTATCATGAGCATTGAGAAAATTTCTCTTACTATGCCTCTTTTCAGTATATGATTATGATAGAAGAAGAAAATGGAGATCCATCAAACTCACGATATTTAACTTGAAAGTACATGTATCTAGTGAAATTATGAAAGTTGCATAACGCACTCAGAAAAATTAAATACAACTGAGGATACTTTAGAATGATTACGGTTTTCTTGATCTTATTGTGAAAGTTGCGTAATCTAATATTCACAGAAAGAGGGTTACGAGAGGCTGTATTATAGTTGCATCACAATGATGCAACTGATATTCACCACTACGTCTCTTGGAAGTTATTTCTTCTTGTTTTGAAGGCCTTGCTCGACATGCTTGTATATGATGTTAGGAAAAATTGAAAACAGGGGGGAAGTCAGGTGTCTTACAGAAGCATAATCAGTCAAATGGCACTAGTGCAGTAAAATCTTCTTCCTGATTTTATCATAATACTTGATATATTCATTTTTTTCACAGACATTTCATACTGCTTTTAAAACCTTTACTTTCGATATAGTTGCTTACGACGTGGATAAAATATTTGAATTCTACTGAAATTTTGCTTGAACATCCTGTACAGGCTTTGGATCTTGGGAGGGGTGCTAATCCAGAAGGTTATATGGTAGAGGAAATCTGGCAGGAGCTTTCAAAAGCAAAGTACATGGAGTGGGAGGATACATCGAGCAAACGATCATGGGAATTGCAAAACTTGAAGTATGTGTTCCCTGTTCAGGCCTGTGATGTCTGAAAATGTTTTCAATATTGAATAACTGTTGGTGTTCGTTTTAAAGGTAGCTGGTTCATAAAACTTGTTTCATGTCTCAGAGAAGACTGTGAGACTGCTCTCAAAGAGAAACATGACGCTCTTCAAGTTGAAGGGTTTTTGGATGAAGTTGCTACTACCTATATGAAACAGTTAGAGGCGTTAGGAAGAGTGTTTGAGAAAGCTGCAGAAGCTGACACGCCAAGTGAGGTCAGTACATGGTTTTCTTGTCTTCCATTCTCAGTTACTTTTGTTGTGACTGTAAAAAAATTTCAGGTGCCGGATTACCTGTGTTGCAAAATCACGCTTGATATATTTCGTGATCCTGTGATTACTCCAAGTGGGGTTACATATGAGAGATCAGTGATCCGTCACCATCTTGAGAAGGTATAATATCTTCATATTGCATCTGCTAATACAAATGCCTTCTCTACGCTAATGTACATATTCACAGTGAACTCTGGCCTTTTGTTTACTCTATATACCAGGTTGGCAAGTTCGATCCAATCACACGAGAGCCACTTGATCAATCAGAGCTAATACCAAACTTTGCCATAAAAGAAGCAGTTCAAGCATATATACAACTGCATGGTTGGGCCTACGGAGCATAGCGAAGGTGGAATTTTATTGGAAACTTGGAGTGTCGATAGTTGTTCTAAAACATGCAATGTACCAAATGTGGCAGAGTGCAGTGTCCTTTTGTGTTTTTAATGTATGGTGTGACCTAGAATCATACTGAAGGTCTATCCTCTTTGAAATTGTACATATATTACATTATAAACCAGTTCTTCACTTACTGCTGGTGTAGATTTATGTTACTTAAAATTGTCGTGGTTTGTGAATTCGGTTTCTCTCTCGGACCTCAAATCGGTTTTTTCTACCACGCATCAATGTAGACGTTCAATCACAAGTTACATTTGAATCTTTTAGATTGAACTAATACATTGATGCATTGCGGAATCTCTGCTTCAAAGATTTTTCTGTTTCTCAACTAAATCCTTTTCCATTTAGTTGGTAGTGAGCCCAATAGGAGGAGCCTACAACCTACCTAAAGGGCCCATACACCAGCAAGCCTTTGTTCAATTTTTTTTTTTTATTATAAATTTTTAACCTTATTTCTATTATTTAAATTTATTTTTAAGATTTTAAATTATACATGTTTTATAACTAATTTTATATCAGTTAATGAATATTTTTTTTTCACATAAACAACGAATGTACAAAAATTGTATACTTTTGGGATCACATAGACAAAATTGGCTAAATCTAAAAGACAGTGTTATGCCCTAGAAGTTACTTTGGTCATTACATTTTAAATTTAGCCAATTTAATCATTATATAATACCGAAAAGTGGACAATTTTCATGCATTTCCCCTATTTTCGTATATAATGCCATTGTTGTTGTTAATTTAAATGGTTATTAGTATTAGGAGCAAAAACAAATTTTACATCAGAATTATATACGTTAATTAAGTCAATTGATAAAATAATACGTTTTTTTGTTAAGTTTAAATTCGAATCGCCTAGCTCTAAATTAGAGTATCATTTTGTAAAATAAAATAAAAAAGTAAAATTACATCTCGATGAAAATATTTTAATTTTCCTAGGGTTTTCGCCCCCACCCCACCCCATATATAAAGAGAACAAACTCGCCCTGACAGTAAGCCCGAGAAAAAGAAAAAACTCTCACGGCCTCGTTCACTCTCGCTCACAAAACCTCCCGGCGGGACTCTAGGGTTTTCAGAGACCTCATCACTCTCGGTCGACTGCAACCATGGCGACCACCACCGCCGCGGCCCCGCGCCAGCTCTCTCAGAAAGAGGCTGACATCCAGATGATGTTGGCCGCCGAAGTGCATCTGGGCACCAAAAACTGCGATTTCCAGATGGAAAGATACGTCTTCAAGCGCCGCAATGACGGTACACTCTCATCTCCTCCCATTTTTTCAGATATAGTCCTGTTTTTTAGGTTTTATTTTTGCTTTTGCAATGCACATTTATCAAAATAAATATTAGATTTTTGGTTTTGTTTGTATTTGGAATGATGGGAAATTTATGATGGAATGATGGGCAATATATAGTTTGTTTTGTCAGATCTGTTGTTTGGATAGTTTAGAGGATTATTTGTTTCTGAAGGTGCATTTTGTTTCTGTAATTTTCTTTCAATTCGATATGCATTTGTGCCGATTTGAACTGACTTATTTGGTTCAATTTACTTGGTTTTACAAAATTAGATGGTTTAATACCAATTGATTGTGTTTCGGCACTGTTTTGTACAAGAAACTCTAATTTGGCATGCGTGTGATCGGCGGTTGTGGAGCACAAGACTGTGCTACTCTGTGTTATTGTTATCCGTATTGTTTCGTTAGCTGTTGATTTGTTTCTGGAACTAAGCTGTCGTTTATTGAATTGGCGTTTTAGTGCTTAATTACTGCTTTGGTTATTCTTAGGGATTTACATTATCAATCTTGGGAAAACTTGGGACAAGCTTCAGATGGCTGCCAGGGTGATTGTTGCGATTGAGAATCCTAAGGACATCATTGTACAATCAGCAAGGCCCTATGGACAGAGGGCTGTCCTGAAATTTGCTCAGCACACTGGTGCTAATGCTATTGCTGGAAGGCACACGCCTGGTACTTTCACAAATCAGCTCCAGACGTCGTTTAATGAGCCCCGTCTCCTCATTCTGACTGACCCACGAACTGATGCTCAGGTGATGGTCATCTTTTATTTTTAATGTCTTTGTATGTTCATTTTTAGACTGCTAGTTGATGTCTAGGGTTTGTGTATGTGCTATTATATAACTCTCTTATTTCCCAATTTTGTTCTGCTTGTTTTTCTTTTTGTGTTCTAATAATTGTTGTGTGCCTGTAGCCAATTAAGGAGGCTGCTTTGGGAAACATACCCACCATTGCTTTCTGCGATACTGATTCCCCTATGCGTTATGTTGATATTGGCATCCCTGCGAATAACAAGGGGAAGCACAGCATCGGATGTCTTTTCTGGCTCCTAGCAAGGATGGTTTTGCAGATGCGTGGTTCCCTCCGTCCAGGGCTTAAGTGGGATGTCATGGTAAACACGGAACATTTCTATTGATTTTGAAATATATGCCTTGGCTTTTGTGCGTTATTTGTAAGTTACTCTAAAGTTCTAATCATTGCCCAAAATTTCTGTTTGCAGGTTGATCTTTTCTTCTATAGAGACCCTGAGGAGGCCAAGGAAAAGGAAGATGAAGATCTTCCTCAAATCCCAGATTATGGAACTGCAGATTATGCTGCACCTGTTATCGGCGGGGCTGATCAATGGCCTACCCAAGTTTCTGATGCTCCATGGCCAACAGATACCCCTGCAACTATCCAGGCAGCTCCTGTTGTTGACTGGACCGCAGAACCAGGTTTCACTTGTTAACCATTTAACTGTTGTAAATTGTGTTAGAATCATCACATTTTTGTTGTATGACCTTGTTGGATTCTGCAGGCTGTGAGAGACATTTGAGCTTAATCACATTTTATTATCAAGTATGCATCTGTTTTCGGTCAGTTGTACCTTTTCTGACACATGTTTGTTTCTTCCCTATCTTGTTTATGTTTGAGTGCAGGCGCAGTAGGAGGAGAGTGGGATTCTATTCCTCCAGCACAAATTCCTGCTGCCGCGGTTGAAGGTGTTGTTCCTCCTCCTAGTGGCTGGGATTGAGGAATTTTTGAAGGGGTGCTCTTCACAATGTCGTTGAATCCGTAGTCGGCTAGATTTTCTTTTCTCGTTTGGGATTTTCTAAAAGGATTATGATATACCATTTTGAAAAAATGGATTGTTTTGGAAGCCGTTGAGTTTAGATTTGAAAAAATGGATTGTTTCTGGAGATCTAGACAATGTTACCATTGAATTATTTCTTTTAATTAATTTGTCGTAAATCTGTATCAAAAGAATTACATCTTGAACATTAATCTTTTGACTAAACGTGGTTGGGGTTGCGGAAAATTTGGTCCGTGGGCCTGCGGGCTGCCTATTTCTATCCTAACCTTGAACTAAATGTGCATAATCCCCTACAACCTGATTTCATTAGGTCCTTGCTTGGACACTTGTTTTGTCATTTGTAGGGCCAATTGTTGGCTTATGACTCGTGGCTGTAGATGGCCTAAGACCGTCCCTAATAGGGTTTTATGTTTCATGAAATTGATAATTCAAAGCCTTAATGAGAATTTTTATCTCTAAGAGAAAGTCCATCCTTAAAAAATACGCTAGCACTGAGTCTATTTAATCCACTTAGTGAATAGTGATAGACCTCATGAACAATAAATTGGCTAAATGCTTCTTCACCTCTAAAAAATGCACTGGCACAAAGTCTAAAAAATGAGTTGGCACAAACGATTTCCATCCCTACAAAATGCATTGGTACCCACCCCATTTAAAATATTATTAATTTTTTTTTAAATAAAAAAAATAGTTTTATTTTCAGATAGGATTTTTAACCAATCTTATCACGCCATGTGTCATTATTTGAAAGTACTATTTTGCTTGAAAGTGTTGAAAATATTGAAATGTGGTGTAAGGTGGAAGATGATGATTAGGTATTTACAGAAAAAAAAAATAGTTTTTTTAAAAAAATTTCTGAATTTTTAAACAATTTTTTATTAATTTTTATTAAGATAGTTAATCTAGACCATAGGATTTGAAAAAGAATTCAAATCTAACAGCCCAGATCACGCCACATGGCTAGGCGTTAGATTTGAATTTCAATATTTGTTTTACCGTTGGAAATCCAACAGCTTAGAAAACTAGTCGTTGGAAATCCAATGGTCCAGAATGAGCCACGTGGCATCTGGACCCTCGCCCTTGTCACGCCTACACATGCGGGCCCTGCTCACTTTTTCTTGTCGGAATGTGCGGCCACTCGAGCGTGTTTCGCATGCGCTTGGCGCAAAAAAAATTTAAAACGGCTTGTGACGTCACGCTAGCGTCAGCATGACGTCACATAGGTCGAGCCTTGGCTCATCACATTTTGGGCTGGCTTATAGGATGGCTTGGGCTGGGTGCCAACCTATTAGGCTGGGCTGGAGCACTTTTTGTGGGTGCCGAGCCATTTTGGGGGCTGTGAGCTAGCCTACCCCTTTGGGGTGGACTTGCTCTAATGAGCCAAAGAATAGGGTTAGGTCTATCACTTGAACTAGCAACTTTTTTCCTTAGGTAGCAAAAAATTAGGTTATATCTAGCTTCAAAATGTAGTAGGCCCACGAGAAAAGTAGCTACCTATGTGAGCCAAATTCTGGGAAGTATTATTGCTTACCATCATAACTATGGTGTATGTTCACTATATACATAATCACCTGCCACCTGTCCTTTCATCTAACTATATTTAACTTTCACATTAAATGTTACTTTTTTAATTTTGAAAAGAAAAAAAAACTATAGTTAGATGAAAGGACATGTGGCAGGTGTTAGATGTATGGTAAACATACACCATAGTTTATGGTGGTGAGCAAAAATACTCCCCAAATTCTGCCACTCTCCCCCAACTAGCGAATACACTTATACCCAAGGTCCTCCATTTTATTTGTATGTTTAATGCTTCAGACATAAAATGATATTAGATGTTCTACTAAAAAGGCTTACTTTTACTAATTTCCAAATAAAAAACACATTAAATTTTAAAATGACATTGAAAGTTTAGAGACCTAAACCAAAAACATAAACAAACAACATACCTAAATTGCAAGGGCATTACAATTTAGTTATGAGACGAAATCTTTTCTGGTCTGATTTCAGAGAAACAAATCAACGGATAAGATTGAGATAAGA